GATTAAGTGTCCGGCTCTTTTTTTTTTTTTTTTTAATGTTTACTTATTTTAGAGAGAGAGAGAGAGAGAGAGAGAGAGAGAGAGAGAGAGAGAGAGACAGGATGCAAGTGAGGGAGGGGCAGAGTGAGAGAGAGTCACAGAATCTGAAGCAGGCTCCAGGCTCTGAGCTATCAGTACAGAGTCTGATGCAGTGCTCAAACTCAGGAACCACAAGATCGTGACCTGTGGTCACACTGACTGTGCACCCAGGTGCCCTAAGTGTCCAACTCTTGATTTCGGCTCAGGTCATGATCTCACAGTTTGTGAGTTGGGCTCTGTGCTGACAACGTGGAGCCTGCTTGGGATTCTCTCTCTCCCTCTCTCTGTCCCTCCCTCACTCATTATTATAAAAAAAAAAAAAAAATAGAAGAAAGCCAAATGCCTCTAAAGTGACTAGGTATAAGACTTTGACCAAAATAGATTCTTCATATTGCATAGTTGGCAATCCCCCTTGGATATCTATCAGATATACCCTGTATAGTTCATTAATGTCAGAATTCTTTTTTTTTGTTTGTTTGTACCTCTTAATCCTCTTCATCCATCCCTTCACCAACCACCCCTTTGGCAATCACCAGTTTGTTCTCTGTATTTAAGAGTGTTTTTGTTGTTGTTGTTGTTGTTGATTTGTTCATTTGTTTTTTAGATTCCTCATGAGGGGCGCCTGGGTGGCGCAGTCGGTTAAGCGTCCGACTTCAGCCAGGTCACGATCTCGCGGTCTGTGAGTTCGAGCCCCGCGTCGGGCTCTGGGCTGATGGCCCAGAGCCTGGAGCCTATTTCCGATTCTGTGTCTCCCTCTCTCTCTGCCCCTCTCCCGTTCATGCTCTGTCTCTCTCTGTCCCAAAAATAAATAAACATTGAAAAAAAAAATTTAGATTCCTCATGTAAGTGAAATCATATGGTGTTTGTCTTTCTCTGACTTTATTTCACTTAGCATAATACCCTCTAGGTCCACCCATGTTGTTGCAAATGGCAAGATTTAATTCTTTTATATATGTATATACCACATCTTCTTTACTCCTCATTTATCAATGGACACTTGAATTGCTTCCATTTCTTGGATGTTGCAAATAATGCTGCAATAAACATAGGGATACATCTTTTTTTTTTTTTTAAAGCTTATTCATTTATTTTGAGAAAGAGAGAGAGAGAGAAAGAGAGAGAGAGAGAGCAGGGGAGGGGCAGAGAGAGAGGGAGAGAGAGAATCCCAAGCAGGCTCCAAAGTGTCAAGCATAGACTCTGACATGGGGATCTATACCATGAACCATGAGATCATGACCTGAGTCGAAATCAAGTTGAATGCTTAACCAAGGCCATCCAGGTGCCCCTGTTTTCATTTTTTTTTAAAGTAAGCTCTATACCCAATATGGGGCTTTAACTCACAACCCCAAGATCAAGAGTCACATGCTCTCCTGACTGAGCCAGCCAGGCACCCAATCTTCTCAAATTAGTGTTTTCATTTTTCTTGGGTATATACCCAGTAGTGGAATTACTGGATCATATGGTATTTCTATTTTTAATTTTCTGAGGAACCTCCATACCGTTTCCCACAGTGGTTGCACCAATTTACATTCCTACCAACAGTGCAAGAGGGTTCCCTTTTTTCCACATCCTTGCCAACACCTGTTATTTCTTATCTTTTTGATACAAGACAGGCCTTTGTGTGCCTGGCACTTTCTTACTATAGCTTAACTATTAGCTTAACTATTACCTTCTTAGAGAAGTGTCCTTTACTATCCAATCTAAATATTACTCCAGTGTAGTCTTTTCTTAGCACTCAAAACACACAGACTAAAATTATCTAGTTGACTTATTTATTATATGTTACCATACCAGAATGTAAGCTCCACGAAAGCGGGGCCCTTGTCTGGCTTGTTTATCCCTATCTCTCTTGCACCTAGACAAAACCTGGCACATCACAGCCTCTTGATAAATTTTCTTTTTTTCAGGAAAAGATAGTGAATAGTGACAAACCAAATACAATCAGTTACTTTCTCTGGTAAGTATTTACTACGAGAAGCATACTGAGAAGGCATCAGAAGAGTAAAAGATGATTGCTTTTAAGGGATGACGAGATGACAGGTCACTGGAGCTGCTGATCTCTGAATAATAATGATCCATTATCCAGTTCCCCATAAAGTGAGAATATGTCCCAATCTTTGAAGTGTGGGGGCACTAGAGGGACGAAGCAGCAGTTGAAGTTTCCAGGCCTTCCCCATGTATCCTTTTGATGAACTCCATCACCTAAGGCAACGCCCCAAACGCAGAGGAGGGTATAAAGATAGATCTCCAAGAGATCTGAGCTACTAGCAGACTCCTGCAGATTTTGAAATTTCTTTAGTCTTCTATTTTATCTTAACATTTACATACATCTTGGGTTCAGTATCATAATATATCCATATTTATGTTAACATATGAATACTTTAAATTATTCCACCGCTTGTAAAGTCTTTGCTGCAAGGAAGCCAAGCTATCCTGGATCTTTACATTCTCCATGGCAATAGCACCTCAGGGATACATGTTTGCTGTCTGAGAAGTTCCCACATTCTCTTTCCTTTGCAGCCCAAGTTCTCCTTTAGCATAATTTATTTGTTTATAATAAATATTTACTGAGCATCTACTATGTACTAGACCCAACAGGCCTGGGGATGTAACTCTGAACAAGATATGCACAATTCCTACCTGCATGAGAGTTATTGTTTAGGGGAGAAAGAACAGGGGAAAAAAAAAAAGAGTAAATTAAAATGTATTGTGGTAGCTGCTAAGATAAGGAAGGAAAATCAGGGTGCCAACAGAAATATAGAAACTGGCACCTAACCTCAAAATTGGTGATGAGGAGTGGTGCCTACGTGGCTCAGTTGGTTAAGCATTCTGACTCTCGGTTTCAGCTCAGGTCATGATCTCACTGTTAGTGAGTTCGAGCCCCATGTTGGGCTCTGTGCTGATAGCTCAGAGCTTGCTTGGGATTCCTTCTCTCTCCCCCTCTCTTTGCCCCTCCCCCGCTCACTCTCTCTCTCTCAAAATAAATAAATAAACTTAAAAAAAACCACACACAACTGGTGACGAGGAATGATTTTCCAGAATGAAATAATCTGAAAAATGAACAAGAGTTAGCCAGGTAAAGAGTGGTGGAGTGCTCCTGGCTTGGCTTAGGCTGAGCTCTGGAGGCCTGAGAGAGCACAGAACTCAAACGAGCCAATTCAGTGTTAGTTTAGTGTGGCAGGAGAAAAGCTTGCAAAGGATAAAGAAGAGAGAGGGCTGGAGAGGTAATTGAGGCAGGACATGAGAGGGCGCTGCTAAAGGACTTCCATATAACTTAAATGGAATAGAAAGTCACTGAAAGTCATCTCAGGAAGAACTGGCTTATATCTATTTATTATTATTATTATTATTATTATTATTATTATTTTTACTGTTTGTTTATTCTTGAGAGAGAGTGGGGAAGGGGCAGAGAGAGAAGGAGCCAGAATCCGAAGCAGGCTCTAGGCTCCGAACCGTCAGCGCAGAGCCTGACATGGGGCTTAAACCCATGAACTGTGAGATCATGACCTGAGCTGAAGTCAAGACGCTGAGCCGACTGAGCCCCCCAGGTGCCCCTCGATTTTTTAAAAGCATCATCCAGAAACTGCAGCTCTGTATCTGGGAAAGAACAAAGACCCTACTTACATTAGGGTAAGAGGTGTAATTGGCAAACCCAGCACCCCGAACTAACAGAACTGAGACACCATCTCAATCTTCTCCCCTCACCAGCCTCCCTCCTCCCAAAGTTCACACTAAGCCTCTTCGGGACTAACCTTCGCGGGCCTCTGCCCCTGACTCTGGACTCCCAGCTCGAGTCACTGGGGTCACGGCATGATTCCCTCAGGGAACAAATACTTTTCCAACCTGCCGCCACACCCAAGGCGCGTGTGATTTTTAGACGTTAACCAATTGTGGCCTTCTCTTGGGCATTCTTGACCTGATGTGCTAGCGAAGGCCACTATCAAGTTTTGCCCGATGGAAAGAGGGAGCCAGGGAAAGATGTGAGGAAGTTTGGGGCAGCTTAGTGATTAGTGAGGGGGAAGAGAATACAATTATTGAGGTTTTCAACTCCCTTGGTCATTCGCTGAGAAACTCTTTGCCTGAGTTTTTCCATGGGTCAGGCGGAGACGAAGCTATGGTCAAGGCTCTCAGGGGTAGAGCTTTTAGGGCTTTTCTAGAGAGTGCGGAGCACTTGGGTAACCGCAGGGGCTAAGCCAGGGACTAAGCCTGCATAACCCTCGACAAACCGGTACCTGCTGGGAGCATTATCTACAGCTGCCAGATATTTGCAGCGAATCTTTTTTTTTTTTTTTTTTTTTTTTGATAAGAAGCTGGCACGCCGCCCGTGTGGCATCGAGAGCACAAGGACTGCATATTCCCTCTCGGCTCTTTTTCTACAACGCCGCCCGTCTCTCGCTCTTTCTGAACTTTGGGGCTAACTTTCTGTCAGGGCTACCCGCGGGCGGACTTAACGACTGGGAACGAACCAAACCAAACCAAAACGATGACACACGGCTTCCCTACTCCTTAAGGTTGTTTTTTTTTTTTTTTCCGGTCGGGGGGTGAATGTCATTACCTAGCAAGCCGAGCGCCCGGGCTGGGGTGAGAGGGCTCGCCACGAATGTTTACAAGCACGGGCATCGCCACCGGCACACGGCACAGGCTGAGAGGACGCGCGAGCATTTCCTTTTCCTGTCTCCATGTGACTCGGGAACGCGGGGCAAGACATTTAAAACCAGGACCAGCCCAGAGGGAGAGGGTGTTAGCTCTTCCGCGCCAGCTCCCTTCAGTGCCGCTGCCTTGTAGGATTTGCAAACGGGAGACGGCCGCGGCTTCCAAAGTCGCTACGGCGTCCCTTCTCCAAGTTCGTCCTCTCAGTTTCCCTTCCCGGCTCCTAAACCACAATTTCTTTCTTTTCGTAACATTCTGGGCTTTTTCCTTACCTCGGCTTGTAAGAAAAGTCCTTTGCGCCACTCCCCTCCGAGCTCCACAGGAAAGCCCTCAGGTGCTCACAGTTCAGTCTCAGTTTTGGTCAGTCATTAAGGAGTCTTAGCAGGTGGAAACTCTAGAAGAGAACCGTGGACACGCGCGCGCCTCAGCCCTCTACGCGGTGGGCAACATCCCAGTCCCGGAGCGTGGACGGCCTGGCGCGCCGGGGCCCCTTTAAGAGCAGGCCACGCCCCTCCCCTCCTCCCGGCGCGGCCGGCGGTCGGTGGCGGCCGCTACGGTGCTGACAAGATGGCGGCTGGCGGGGCTGTCTCTGCGGCGCCCGAGTGCCGGCTTCTGCCCTACGCGCTACACAAGTGGAGCTCCTTCTCCTCTACTTACCTTCCCGAGTAAGTGCCGAGCCCTGGGTTCGTGTTGCCCTGCTCTTCGGCATAAGCACGGCGGGGCCAGGGGGGCAGTGGAGGGCAGCCGAGCCGAGAGGCCCAGGCGGGGCCTGCTGAGGGGGACGCTTGGCCTCCCGAGTCTCAGTCCAGCCGCGGAGAGCTTTGCCCTCCCCACCCCCCTGCCTCAGGGAGGGGTTAGGTAGGGAGAGCGGGGTCCAGGGGGGGGGGGAAGGGGCGACGTGTACCCCGCGCGGATCCGGAGCGCGTAGGACAACGGGGAACCCGGTGATGTTTTGCCCGGGATTTGGGGGTTGAGGGAGGCTTGGGGGGCGGCTGGCTCAGGGAATTGGGGCAGGAACCGGAGCCTTCGGGGTCCCGACGGGTAGCAAACGGGTGAAGGAGTCTATGGTCGTCGGAGCTGGCCGGAGACGGGGGACGGCTCAGCCGATTGCTGCCGGGACAAAGTGTAAAGCTGAGAAGAGGAGTGATTGTTCCTGGGGGGGGGGGGGGGCCCCATTAAAAGTGGTTAGCTCCAGAAGAGTGGTAAAAGTCACGGAAGGCTGAAAAGTTGTGGGATCCGTGTGAATCCTTGCAAGTGGGGAGGGTTTGTAGGATTTGCCGAGGGTTGTCCTTTCTGGCTGGTGTTTCTGAAAAAGGTAGGGAGTGGGCTGGGACATTACAGAAGAGTTCCATTATGTTATGGCTCGGAACACGGATTTGTACAAACACAGACCAACTTCCCAGCCCAGAAACTCAAATATAGACATAAAAGTCTGGACTTTTAATCAGTTTGACTTCCAGCACTGGCTTGGTCTGGGTCGCCGATTCGGGGTTAAAAAGGGTTCCATTGCATTACTACTTGTGTATTTTTTGGTAGCAAATTCCTTCTGAAACGCTGAAAGTACTTTCGTACAGTATTTACTTATCTTTAGCTTATCTTCGAGAGAAGGACATGTAAGTCCAATTTTACATGCAGATGGAGAAACTGGCTTAGTAAAGTTTGAAGATCTGTGTGCAGACGGGGAAGAAAAGTACTAGCTGTCCCCTGGAACATCATTTCACGAGTCCAAGAATGCTTTTATGGACAAAACAAGTCACAAATAATTTATCGTTTATGTTACTGGACAAAAGTAGATCTGTGAAGCATACTCAGAGTTTTTTTTCATCTGTATTTTAAAAACTCTTAACATTTTCTCAACGTTGATTTCAGTCAAGAATCTGCAAATGGCTCTGTGACTTAGAAGAATGTAACGCTCTTAACTCCCATTCACCAGGTCAAGGGTTGGCAGTCAGGCCTTCAGTAGGGTTTGCTTCAGTGAAGGGTGCCAAGTGACTTGTGGTCAGATCTGGCCTGTGTGGCCTATTGATGGCTACTGCGTGGCTGTGTCCCTGATTGATGTTGGACTCCCAGCTTTTCATTTGAGAATGAGCCAGGTAAACAGCCCTCAGCTGGAGTTGAAATGTGGCCCTTGGTGCTTGACTTCTGATTTTTTGAGGCTAACAAATTCTTGAATCTGAAGAAAATTAGCATTTTTCTCTGCCCTAGCTTAGGAACGCAGGCAGTAAGGAATTGGGGTGGCATCGTTTAATAACTTCAGAGAAGTTTTTTAAAAACAGAAATTTTCCTGGTCTTGAATTAGGCTACTTCCAGGATTTTACTCCTTAAGTTTGTGATATAGGGGCAGGGCTTACATATCACAAGTCCCTTCAGAGTTCTGAATAAAAAAGGAAGAGTACAGTTCGCGCAGGAAATGGTTTAGGGGGATGGCAACTTTACTCTGACCTACGCCTCATTATCCTGGCCCAAGATTTGAACCGGATAGAATACTAGTTGTGGTTAAAAGGCAGCTGTTTGAAATTGTGGAGAAATCTGTTGTTGTAATTCTCTCAAATATGTTCATATATTAGTACTTAATGCGTATTTAATTTTCAGACGCTTTCATTTACAATGTCTTATTTAACCCTTAACGATATTCTGCTGTTTATGCAGAACAGTTTTAATTTTAAAGCACTAACCTATTAAAATAGAGTAATTGGAGCTTTTTTCTTTGAAAGAATATGACCATTATGGAACTTGAGTTTGAGAATTTTGTGTCTGCTGAATTGGTGTGGGCCATGCCTAAATTGTAAAACTCTTTTGGTACTGAGCAATTAGCAAGTAAGCATGGTATAGCTTTGTATAATATGAAGTGTAAGAAAGAGAATTGACCTTCTTTACCTTTGCCCTAAAATTCTCTTTAACAGCAGTTGCTGTATCTTTATTGGCAGTGACCGTCATGTTAGGTATCTCCTAAAAACGTCTAATTTTAAGTAAAGCCATTTGTTGTAGACAGTAGACAAACAATATTTGGGTGGCAAACATTTTCTGATTACAAGTCGTAGACCTAGACATTTGGAGGGGAGAATAATAAAACAATAATAACAATGGGAAACACTGAAACTGTGTGCCTTCCATAAGCTAGGCTCCCTTATGAACACTTTAAATGTATTAACTCATTTAATTCTCACACAGCTGTATGAAGAATTTACATTTTCCAGATGAGGAACCAGACATGGAGAGGTTAAAATTTGCCTCAGGTCACACAGCTGGCTGAGGTCATGATTTGAACCTAGGAAGTCTCGATTCAGGTTCCATAGCCTTAATAGTGCTGTTCTGCTTGTGCCCAAAGGTAGAGACAGGAATTCAAAGATTGGAAAGAGTTCTTATATTAAAGGCACTTAAAGTTTTGTTGTGTAAAAACATGTGAAGTCATAAAAGAAAAAAAAAAGGAAAAGTTCAGATATCTGTTTTCTTCCTAAGGAATTAGAATTTTTTTTCCTTCTCCTAAAGGCAGAAAAAAACCACATTTTTTCCTTATAACCCTTTTAGATTTTTTAAGACCTTAAAAATATTAAAGCAGATCTAGTTATACATGTACATTTTTATTTTGAAACTAACGAAGTGGTCTTTTGCAAAGCTCTTAAATTTGCCATAGTTTACATTTTTCTGAAATTTATATTTGGATATTAAGAGAAATACATTTTAATAATTTTTAGATTTACATGAGTTTATATTTAAGAATATTTTATAAATTGCTAATCTCTATACTCAAATGTTTCTTTTTAAAAATAATTGAAATTTTTTTTTTTTAATTTATTTTGAGAGAGAGCAAGGAGGGGAGAGGCAGAGAGAGAGAGGGAGAGAGAGAATCCTGAGCAGGCTTTGTGCTGTCAGCACAGAGTCTAACGCAGGGCTCAATTTCATGAACTATGAGATCATGACCTGAGCTGAAAGCAAGAGTTGGACGCTTAACCGACTGAACCGCCCAGGCGCCCCATATACTCAACTGTTTCTTGACGTAGCTAACCAATAGTGATACCAATTGCACTTTATTGAGCACTGACTATATACAAGATGATTTTTCTACATAGTTTTACTTAATCCTTAGAACAAACCAGCAAGATGAATTTTGTTATTTTTGCAGGTGAGGAAACTGAGGTCCATACAGGTTAGGTAACTTGCCATGTTGAACATAATAGTTTTCAAAAGGTTTAGCAAGTTCTCTGACTTAAAAGTTATTGCACGTGCTTCTAGTAACAACTACTTATTAAGTACCTTCTATTCTTTGGGCACTATGCTTAGCACTTAGTGTGTCTTTTTTGATTTAGTCTTCACAAACACTTTACAGTAAATATTATTCTGTGTTACAGAATAGGGAAACTGAAGTTCAGACAGGTAAACTAACTTGCCCAAGTCCAAGAGTTGAAAGGATAGGAGATAGTATTCTGATCTTGGGCCTTCTGACTTCTGTTACCAAAGCTGCTTCAATACTTTGCAGGACTATAGTACATTCACAATTGTGAATACAATTAAGAAGTGCTGTACTATAAGGTTAGAGAAAGAGAACAATAGTTAGCTATATTTTCTCTTGACCTTTAAGGCTTTAATGTATTAATATAAAAACTGGGAGGACCTTTAAAAGTTTTTTTTTTTTTTTAATTTTTTTTCAACGTTTATTTATTTTTGGGACAGAGAGAGACAGAGCATGAACGGGGGAGGGGCAGAGAGAGAGGGAGACACAGAATCGGAAACAGGCTCCAGGCTCTGAGCCATCAGCCCAGAGCCCGACGCGGGGCTCGAACTCACGGATCGCGAGATCGTGACCTGGCTGAAGTCGGACGCTTAACCGACTGCGCCACCCAGGCGCCCCAAAAGTTTTTTTATACATTAGGTAATTTCATTGATATGGAATTATTCTGGTTACATGTTACTGAAAGACTTGAATAGCTTAAGTAGTAAAATTTGATACATTTTAAGTGTGGTCACCTTTTTTTCCTATTAGTCTTCTTTATTAATATCAAATAATTAAAGATCATTGTGCATAATGAACTTGAGAATCTGTTACAATCCCATAGTCTCCTGCAAACCCACAAATGTAAATCACTAGTTTGGAGGTATTCCACTTCCTGGAGACTGGAAACTGTCATGTTCTTCCTTTCTCTCCTTTCCCGTTCCCTAAACCGAAATTAGACACTGGCCTGGCTTAGGAACTTTATTGGCCACTGAAAGTTCTGATATTTTCAGTCTGATAATCTTAGAACTTTGGAAAAATAAAGATAAGCCAGGATAGAAGAAAGGAACCTGAGGTGGATGAAGGACTAGAGACTGAAAGGATCCTGGAACTGGATCTTTGTGACTTTTAGAAAGTTAATGATTCTTCTCTGAGCATCATCAGTTTCCTTTTATGTAGAAATAGTTTTTATTTTGATCAAATTCTAAGGAGGTTTTATATTATTTTTTTCCAGGTAGGTAGATGTCTCTATCATTTGCATTAACTTCTAGGTAAATATAGTAGGTTTTGAATAAATTATTTTGGAGCCTGATACAGGGACTTTGTGATATTTTACATGTAGATAAGATACGTTTCAGCTGTTTGTGGCGATCTGACTGCTGTATTTCAGTCGTTCAAAAATCATCCTTGGGGAGTGGCTGGCTGGTTCACTTGGTGGAGTGTGTGACTGTTGATCTCGGGGTTGTGAGTTCCAGCTTTGGGTGTAGAGATTACTTAACAATAAAATCTTAAATTATCTTTGGAAATATGAGATATTTCTAGATTTTAATTTTAGAGATGTTGAGAGCCACCTAAGAGTGGCTCTTTGTATTTACTTTGGTTTTTGGCACCTCATGAATCTGTAGCATGAGTGTTTCATCAGTTCTGAAAAAAATTTTGATATTCTTCAAATATTGTTTCTGCCCCATTCTTTTTCTCCTTCCCTCTGTGACTCCAGTGTAATCTATATTCTACTTTTTGTCATGTTCTCTATGTCTCTAATGCTTTTCCTTGTCTTTTCTATCTTTTTTTGGGGGGGGGGGTCTCCTTATTCCATTCTGGATAGGTTTTCCTTGCCTGTGTTCCTGTTTACCAATTCTCTATTCAGCTTTGTCCAGTTTGCTTTTAACCACATCTATATTTCTTGATTTCAGCTATAATATTTTTAGTGCTAGAATTTTTTTTTAATGTTTATTTTTGAGAGAGAGCGAGAAAAAGAGAGAAAGCTGCTCTTGCTCACATGAGTTGAGGAGGGGCAGAGAGAGAGTGAGACAGAGAATCTGAAGCAGGCTCCGGGCTGTCAGTGCAAAGCCTGACATGGAACTTGATCCCACAAACTATGAGATCGTGACCCTAGCTAAAGTTGGACCCTCAACTGACGGAGCCACCCAGGTGCCACAGTGCTAGAATTTTTATTTGATTCTCTCTTTCTCTCTTCATAATAGTCTCTTTTTTTTGGTGAAAATATCCATATTGT